TCATCCCAGCAAATGCATTGGAAGCACAATTAAGAATGACCCGGGGGTAGGAATACCAGCTGGGAAGTTGCAAGTTGGATGAATTCAGTGGTTGCAGTGCATTCATCCACTGCTGCCCCCTGCGGCAAACCTCATTCATGTGCACATTTTCTTTTGGGGGGGTTTCTGTGAACATTATTTTGGTGTAATGCTTCCATGAAGTCCACATGCATGCCTTGGTGTTGCCAGCCTGCACTCTCATGAGTCCCATGATGTTGGGAGGTCCTTGAAAAGACCTAGGTCTTGGAACTGAGAATTCCCTCTCTAATGTTAAAAGTAAGTCTCCAGCCTCGGTGCTGGTAAGGCAAAGCCCAAAATACAAACCACAAAGACCGAAAACACCACAAAGCCAATAAAAAGAACTCAACATTTATTATCGTTTCTCATAAAGGTTGCCATTTTCAAACAAAGAGCGTGTTTTCAGGATGCTCAGGGCCAACCTTCCTCACGCTTGCTATGCTATCCTGGGCGTGCCGTTAGAGCCCTCCTTCTGCAGAGAGGTCCACCCATTTCTTGGAGGCACGGGGCTCTGCGCAGGCAATGCTTGCTCCAGCCTCTGGATGTGCAGAGTCTTGAAGGTTATCGCTATACAGGGAGCTGGGGTAAAGCAGCAATTGCTAGCGCAAAACATAAGGGAAGCCTGTTACCGCACAAGATTCCTCAAAAGGTGTTGGGGCCTATAGGCCAAAGGACTTAGGCATCCAATTGTTGTCTGTGCCTTAAAAAGCACCTCCCTAAATGGCTAATGTTATCATGCTTACCTTGGTTATCCTAGGAGATTAAACCTAATATCTCCAAAGACAGAAACATAAGCTTCTACAGTGGAAGTGGTGGCATTGGCAGCAGCCAGGTCCTAGCACCAGCCCACCGAGGACTCACGTTGGGTCATACTAGCCCTCTGCTAAAAAAATCATTGTCGACCACAGGTTTAAGGTAAAGGAGATCTTCCCCTGGTGAAGATCTGTTTGTGGCCAATGTGTCCTGTCTGTCCAGGGACGTGAAACACAACTGAACGGCGGGTTACTCTAACGTGCACGTCATTTATTTAATGGCCACAACCGTCGCATTGGCCGGAGGCGTGAGTGGGAAGAGACACGATATCGCCCATGCCCATGGCAGCTATTGAAATACAATCATTGAAATGAAAAAGGAAAAGAATTCCCCTCCCCATCCAAAGCACAAAACACCTTAAGTCAACAGAATTTAATCTAGTTTATTCTCAAAAAAAGGAGGAAAAAATATGAAAACAAAACAAAAAAAAAAAGCAGGTCTTATCACTAGCAGTAAGTAAATATGTACAACCATTCAGTCTGTATAATAGGATGAAATAAATCTACATCTTTCTTATTTTGGTGCTTTGAATTATACATACAAACAACAATTACAGGAACGTGTTCACAATGCATATAGGCCTGGAAAATGGCTATCTGAAAACCCTCTTTGACATATCTGTATGTTAACACTGATTGCCCTGAAAACCATTAGTACTTCCTACGTAAAAAGGCCAGCTGCTTTGAATGAATGATCTGCCTACAGTTTTATTTAGTTAGTTAGTTAGTTAATGCATCCAACGTTTGGAGCCAGCCACCGACAGAAGACGAGGCTAGCGGTTTTTGTCCATTTGTTCGTTAGACCCAATTCTTCTTAGTCCGTTACTTTAAAATGTCCTCCCCGTCCTCTTTTTAACATTTTTTGTTTCTTGGAGTCCTTCATGCCCTTCTTTACAGCTACCCAGATGCAATAAAGTCTTCCTCAAATGTACAGTATTTCTTACAATATAAGTTATATGCAATGTTCAGCATTTTTTTCACAGCACTAGAAACCCTGTTCAGTAGGGAATGTGAGTCTGAATGGCTTATTCACAAATGGGATCCAGATTCAGTGGTTAAGAATACATAGACACCATAGTGAGCTCCTTTAAAAAGTGGCAAGCATCACCTTTTTTATTTTCTTTTTTTGTTTGTTTTTGTGGGGTTTTTTGTTTTTCTTTTTTTGCTTTTACGCCTTCAAATCACCCTTTTTTTCTCTTCCGTTTTGTTTTTTTGCGGGGGAGGGGGGCGGGGGGGGCTTCCGAATCGATAAACCGCGTGCCTGCAAAAATGCAAGTATATAAAGTAAATCTCATTTTGAGACCTTAAGCATTTAGCAGGGAAGTGTCTCTCTAACCCATGGCAGTGACCATACTGGAAGGATGGTGAGGTCCGAAAGAGAGGCTGGATGGCGGATGCATCGGTGTCGGTGTTGTCAGCATGTGGCTAGAGTGACTGAAAGGTGAAATGTGGCTGATGGAAGACATGTGTCTCGAGAGGGCGGCGGGATTGAAGGAGCTGCTCTTGGGGAAGTCTTCAAGGTTGTCGTGGACCTTTTTGCACTTTTTGGATTTGCTAGACATTTTTCGGTTTCGGGTCTGAATTCCTTCCTTCTTCATAGTCAGGGGTCTGTTAATCTAAACAAAAACCAATTATTTTTTTTTTGCTTCCATCCCGTCTCCCCAAATTACCGCGGCAGCGACTCGCCGACGCATCGCCAGCCCTTGGAAATGACTCGTGAAATTCCAAACCCGAGCAAGGCTTTTGGAGGGGACAAAACAAGCAAACAAACAAACGGAGCTGGTAGGGTTTCATGCTTGCAAAGAGCGATTTAGTAGCTTAGAGTAACCAAAAGGTTTCAGTTACCGTGTTCCAGTACACTCGGTAATTGGAGTGCGGTTGTGAAACAAGCTGGTCCCTATCACCACGGAAGATTCCTTCAAGAAACTGTCTCGCCCCCAGAGGCCTCTTGATAAAGCAAAATCTTAAATCATTAAAGCTAATGGCCCAAGACGTGGTTAAATTTCAATCTTGTCTCCAAAGGACCTAAAAAATATTCTTGCCACTCAGACGAGAGCAGGGCAAATTTGGCAAAACACAGAGCAAACCAATGTGTTGTGCTCTACTCTTTTTTTTTAAGCTCTTACTATGAATTGACCTGCATGTGGGCTCTTCCTTTTTGGGTTGATTTTTCTGTGGCCATTTGCACGATGTGAATTTTGCTGGCAGGAAGCAAATTGCAAATTCACTTTTGTACGGCTGCATTCGTATTGCATTTCAGGCACGAAGATTTGCACCAGAATTCATGTATCCGATCAGGGAGAAGAAACAGTGGCAGGTGACTTAACTCACTTCAAATAGCAATGTTATATATGTATTGAATAATGACTAAAACTCACTCCTGGTCAGAGTTCAAGCATCATGCATATGTGTCAGTTAAGTGCCACAAAGGTCTTAAAGCCCAGGTTTTAAAAGCATTTAGCTGTCTAATTCCCATAAATACCTGTACAAATCTAGACTTCAGATCTTAAATGGGACATGAAGTGACATGCAGAACCTGTGCTGCCCTCTCTGCACAGTGGAAAATATCAGCCATACCAAATTTAATCCATCCACACAGCTCATCAAAAGGCCCCTGATACTAATCAATCCCTTCCTTTAATAACAAATTTGAGGAAATCGCACCCTGCATGTGGGAAAGAGGCTATGTAGGCCTGATAAATCGTCCACTGTGAGCTGTGCTTTCAATGGCAATACACAGTGGTGTGATTATATTGGTCCCGCAGTGTCTTGAATAAATTCTTTCATTCATATGTTTCTAAATCGGTGGGAAAAATTCACACCATTGTTTCAGCCTGCAGCAAAGCTCACCTCTCTCACTTTCAGGTTATTGCTTCACTGTAGCGTATGAGTCACTAAGGAATTTCTTTTCGCAATACCCCAGTGAATAAGGTAGGGCGAATATTTTCTCCATCTCAGTGATAGGAAACCAAAGCAGCAAGAGAGTATTAAGTGACTTGGCCCAGATCAAAGAGGAAGCCAGTGGCAGAGTTAGAAAAAAGAATTTAGGTTTTGCTGTCTCGGCCCAGTATCTTTAACCACAAGATCCTCTCTCTTCTCACCTTCATTTTGGTGCATTGGAGCCTTTCACTTTCAGGTCACTGGCTCTAATGCAACCCGAAGTGGGTGTACTTGATTTTTTTTACCATCTGATGGTCTATTTTGAATGAATCAAAGATGTCCCTCCAGTTCTTAGTGAAGCAGAATTCACATAATTACTGGCAGCCTCATTAACAGGCTAAACTGCAAAGGCTGGGACAGATTGAGCACGGTGTCAACTGCCTGCTCAGTCTTAAGGACAATTAAGCATGAAGGGCATTCGCGTTGTGGCCTGGGCGGCTTGAACCGCTGCCCATCCGGCCCATCATCTCAGTTCTGCATCTACCACAATCACAGGAACGCGTGGCCCCGCTCCTCCCAGGAGAGCAGGACTACAGCTGGCATGCACACATGCAGAAGATCACATGCAGTAGGATAGCAAGTGCCATGAACATGTGTTCTCAGCAACACAGCAGGAGGAGATATCTGTACGATCACAACAGTATGACAGAAAGAATTTTTGCTTTCTGTTGACTTGAAAGTATAGATGCAGCGTAATTGAAAGGTCACCATCAAAATCGAATCCATGGGCTTTCCTGTTTCCACTGCACGTAACTATGAGGCCCGGAGGGAAGGCCCTTTCAGTGAAAACACTTACAAGGAGAACGATAAACACATGCTAAGTAATAAATTAAACAAGCCAAACACACATATATGAAAAGCATTAATTTCAGATGGATCCAATTAATTATGGGCAGTCCAGCAAGGAAATGTGTTCTTTATTTGATCGTATGCAAAATACTAAGGCTTCTACTCTTGGGACCCACAGCTCCGATGCAGCAGAGCTTCTGACTTTTGCAAAATAAGAGCCCACAGTTTTACCTCTTGAAATGAATAGCAACTGAACTGTGTAAGCCCAATCCTTTGCCAGGCTGAGTGCCTCCTGTGAGATCCTGAACACCCACAGCTAGCACTGCAGTCAAGCAAACCTCATGTCTAGGGAGTATTGCTTGCAAGTTCAATGTGTGAAGATCACCCCCAAATGCCTCTGACACAACAGATCACCTACACGGGATAGTCTCACATAGTCGCATAGCCTACATAGGACAGTCTGATCCTACTCCAGTTGAAGACAAAGGATTTTTTGCCATTGGTCCCAGTGGTGGTCTGTCATTGCTAGCAGGTTTATCCCTTAGACAGGCCATTATAATGCTTAATTACTGGTAATCTCCAGGATTTCCTGTACCCTAGAAAGCACGTTGGGATCCTACTGAATAAGGGTCCATCTATAAATGTGAAAAACTAGTCATCCTTAATAGTATTGCTAATGGAGCCTGGTCCTGTTGATGTCAATGGCAGCTTTGCTGGTGACTTCAACAGAAAAAGGAAAAGGCCCCTCACCCAAAGCTATTATCACTACTAATACTCCACTTACTATTGAGTTTGCTTTACCTGTAGGGATCTACTGGCGCCTTAAAGAAAACTGACCTCTATAAGCATGACCAGAAGGGAACACCCTTGATATCATTCCCTCTGCAACATTAAATGGGACCTATCCTGCCAAGGTGGACATGATATCAATGGGAGCTTTGCCTACAGGTGTGGGAACCAAAAGTCTCTAGCAAGAAAAAGCCCTGAACCAATGTGCTGAACTGAATAGAAAGACAAAAATGAGGGGGAGGGGAAATGAAAAGGCAATGACTGATGCAAAATGGACTTCATGTATTTGATCTATTGTATTCCAGGATTATTCGTTACGGACCCTTGTCCTAAACAATATTGAATGTCTCTTTTCAGAGGTTGGGGGCCTTAAATTCACCTTTCTGGACATACCTATCACTTCCTTAAGCTAGGCTTTATCTAACGAGATCCAGTGTTCCCGTAACAAGGCAGACTAGGTACTATGGAAATACATAATGGCAGATATTCATCCCATGTAAACTGCTGCAGTTCCATCAACTTCGGTGGAGCAATAGTGATTTACACCCCTGAGGTTTTCCTGTAAATCTATTCCCCTCCAAGGGGAAGCGTGTCTACCTGCAGCATCCAAGCCCCCTCTATACCAGCGCATTGATCAAAGGATTCGTCTGGCACCATTCACAAAGTGAGTTAGCACAACCTTATTGACCGTGCCTCCCAGACAGATAGCAAATGAGGGGGCCACAGCTTGAAGGCAACTCAACAAAATGTATGATGCTTGACAGAGAATGGCGGAAATCTCTCACCACACTTGACATTACCTTTTAACTCTCTGTTCCTCCACACGTCTATACCTGCTGTCACAACACCTTTCCCTTGAATTTTCTAATCTCTCCAATCTTTGGAGTTCATCGCCGCCTTTGTAGACAAGGACTGTAATGCTACGCGGGTGAGAGACCGACAGAAATAAACAGCACCCTGACTCTCTCTCTTAGTCAAGTCTCTTTAAATCAATCAGCAGGTGATGTTTGCGAGGGTAAAGCAATGCTTTGGTGAACTGGCTCACCGGCACCCCCCCCCACTTTCCCAGCATAGCAGCCACTTAGTGTCATTTATGGTGCAAAAAAGAGGTTCTTATTAATTTAAGGACAGATTCTAATACCCTTTCTTACACTGAATCATTTCATACTTCACTAGTTATCCCATTTAAGTCAATGGATTCACTTGTAACTAAGATATTACTTGACTGAAGTGAGGGTATCAGAATCTGGACTCTGCTGTAGTCTCTACAAGGGGTGGTGTTATCAGCTGAAGGCACATTTGGGCAACGTGAAAGGGGCTTCCAATCTGCTTGGCACGGGACACCTGGCACAGGGCATAAACTTCACAGCTGGATCTGAGCTGCCCAAAAACTGGGACCCGGGGTTTATACTCAGACCCATCTGTATACACAACTTCCCGGTGAAAAGGTAAGAGGTGAATGAGCCTCAAAAAGACAGGTTGGGATACAGGCCCGGATGCTCAGAAACTGCCAAATGTCTCGTGTCTGCACAACTGAACTGTAAGGGCAAGTTCTGTAAGGGCAAGTTGTCTTCTGAAATCCCTCATCCTCCTGGCTGCCTCTTGGACTGGAAATATCAAAAAAAGGACCTTTCCTATGATACGTCAGCAGTTCCCCTGTCGGGGTATAATCCCACTCTCCTTGGAGGCAACGCAGCATTTTCCTTGATGTCACTGGGACAAGAATAGGGCTGTTAACTGATCACATAGGAACCACAGAGCGTAGACAGGTGTGAAAACTGAAAGCGGTGGGGAAGTTAACCAAACTTTTTTTTTTTCAAGCAAGATGCCTGTCACAGCGTAGGCAAAGACTCTGATTCAATACACGTACAAAATATACATATATAACCTGTTTGTTCATCCTTAAAAAAGGAGCCAGCTTGAAAGATTAAATGGAAAGGATGAAAATGAAGATCAGACTGATAGCCTTGGCTAAACCCATGTAACCCTAGCAAGCTTTGATGGGTTTGTGTGGGTGTACATGAGGGCAAAATGTAGCCCAATATTTCTAAATGAAACATCAAGCAAACGACCACTAAAAGAAAAAAAAACCTGACATCAAAGCAAAGAAATTGAAAGTCTTTTCCTTCTTCTGACATTATAATTATTCTAATGCTATGTATGGAATGAAAGTAACAGTGGGAGCCTTAAGACTCCTTTATTATTATTATTCTTCACTATAACTCTTTTCAGCTCCCTTTAGCTCTTTCCTTAGGGCACCTATCCTTGGTTCACGGGAGCTGTCTTTGCATGGAGCTATTAGATTAAATCTACCAGGCATTTCATTTCATTTCTCTTTCC